TTTAGCAAAAGCGTTCGATACCGTTTCAATTCCGAAGCTTCTAAAAAAGTTGGAAGCATTGGGTATGAGAGGAACGCAGTTAAAACTATTTGCAGATTATTTAGACAATCGATCTCAATGCGTTAAAATAGGAAATATTAAAAGTGATTACCAGAAAATGACCTGCTATGGTATTCCCCAGGGAAGTATAATCGGCCCTACCCTTTTTCTCGTTTACATCAATGATTTATGTAACCTTAATTTAAAATATGGTAAAATTATATCTTACGCCGATGATACGGCCTTGATTTTTAGCGCCAATAGTAGGTCAGAATTATATGAGGTAGCTCAACTTGGTCTTAATGGTGTAAATAACTGGCTTCGCTGCAATTTACTAACACTGAATACTGACAAAACCAATTATATTCACTTTTCTATGCGCCAGCCTTGTCATGGGTTTACAAATCCTAACTTATACGCACACCAATGCCAATATCCTTCAGTCAATAAATGCGATTGCCCTTTAATACAGAACACATCCCATATAAAATATCTTGGTATCTTAATTAACGACACATTATCTTTTAGACAGCATATTGCAAATCTAGTAGTCAGGATCCGTAAATTAATGTATATTTTTAAAAAATTACGTACCATTGCAGGTCCAAAACTAATAAAACAGGTATATCAGGCCTTATGCCAATCAGTAATTCAATATTAGTTATTAGTATTATTATGCAATGTATGACCTTATTTGAATAAAGATATATTTATTATATTATTATTATTATATTTGACATTGTGGGTTACCTATAATGCGAAGAGATGGCGCTGCCTGGCAGCTTAAGGCTAAGAAAATTTCGACGCGGCCATCAGGGCCGTGGTAGCATAATTGGTCAGTGCATTCGCCCGGATTGGGAAGGGTTGGAGTCCCATCCGCTGCCTGGTCCGCGTGGATTTTTTTCTAGTAAAACTTTTCTTTATATTATTATGATTCATGAACAATTAAATTGCTAAATCCTTACCCATCATTCCTTGAATATTAAAATGAACTGCTGTAGAGTCAATCAAATGACACAAAGACGCCTAAACAAACCAGCACACAAAGTATCGTGAAAATTGCATCGTCCAAGTTAAGAAAATGCTCATAAAATAAAAACTACTAAACCAAACTCAATTAAATTTTTATGGGACCAAAAGGCAACTATTCTGCATCGAACAAAAAAAACCAGCCAAGTGCGAGTGGGACTCGCACATGAAGGGTTCCGTACTGCGGCGATCTACCCTGAAGGGGTAGATCCTGAGGGCGTAGTTTTATTAAATAGAAAACAACTTATATGTTTAACTCTTTTATTTAAAATTTGAATTCAGGCGAATATAATAATTGAGCTTAATCTAAGTGCATGGTTTGGTGCCTGAAGTCTATCTCTTGGAATCTTCTATTAAACGACAGAGACTTTCTTAATTTCAAATATTAAAATAATGATATTAACTTTTTAATATGACTGCCAGCCGTAGGCATTACATGAACAAAGAGTTGACCCAATTAAGGAGGCTGTAACGTAACGGACTTTACGTAAAAATGGCAAAAAAAATGTGTCTATTGAATAGGAGCCCGCCCTCCTTAAATATATGTATTTTTATGTTATAGCGGCAACATAAATAGATCATCTGTACTCTACTGTCTAGCTAGCAGAGTCTTAGTAATGGAGTCCGGTTTTTACACTTTGGGTACGGAACCCTACGAAATAATCACATAAATTGGATCAAAAATCCCGGCGTGATCGGTGTCCATATATAAAAAAACATACCGGCCGAATTGAGACATCCTCCTTTTGTAAGTCTGTTAAAAAGGAGGATTGTGATTTTAATGACTGCTTGCTATCTTCATGTTTTCCCCACTCTTGTTGTGTTATTGAAATTTGAAACGATTTGTGTCAATCTATATATATAAAACTCAAAGGTGACTGACTGACATAGTGATCTATCAACGCACAGCCCAAACCACTGGACGGATCGGGCTGAAATTTGGCATGCAGGTAGATGTTATGACGTAGGCATCCGCTATGAAAGGATTTTGATCAATTCTACCCCCTAGGGGATAAAATAGGAAATGGAAGTTTGTATGAAACTTTGTCAATTTTAAACCGATCGGGCTGAGACTTTGCATGCAGGTATAAGAAGAATTATAGATGAATGTCATTGTGTATAATACAAGCCTGAGAACAAAAACTGTAGTCTACACTTCAGCTCTAAACCGAAGCGAAGCGAGGGCGGGCCGCTAGTAACAATATTTTTTTAATTAGCCTCACATTCGACGACCTCCGTGGCCGAGTGGCTTATACGCCGGGTTTCATGATGTCGCCGACTCGGGAGGTCTCGGATTCGAATCCCTGTGGGGGCAGATGTTTGAGTGATGAATGAAACGAGCATTTGTTCTCCAGCCATGGATGTTTATTATTTTTTTCTATATAAATACACTTATTTATGTACAATGTATGTATTCTATCCGTTACCCTAGTATCCCATAACACAAGCCTTACAGTGCTTACTTTGGGGCTAGGCTAATTGGTGTGAGTCTTGGAAATATTATGTTATTTATTTATTTGACATTGTCCTTACATTGTCTGTTTCGGTAACGATTCCTCATACCTTTAAAGCTTCGTATAATTAAATACGGAACTGGTTTGTATTATTCATATTAATAGTAACTTGTTATTATTATCAAACAAATTAATCATTTCTAGAAAACAACATTATTTGATTTCTAGTTACTACCCAAATTTTAATATTGCGTCACTAATTCATTTTATATTTACCCATCAACACATTTTAGAACTACGAATTAGTAGGCAGGAATCATACTACCTTGTTTCAATGGATTGTGAATCTATAACCTGGATAACTCTATTTGCGGCTGTCTGTACATACTGGCTAACTAAATGGAGCCTTTCCATATATACGGTTAAGAAATAAAACAAAAAAATCCATGTTTATTCGTGATCACTGTACCAGTTCCTAGTACAAAGTCTTAATAAAGCCGATTTAAAACCAAAACTGGTTTAATTTCACTGACTTTTGATGATATCGTTTAAATAACTTTGTACTCGTATTCTTGATTTTATTATCAAATACAATACAATATAATGCGAAGAGATGGCGCTGCCTTGCAGCTTAAGAATGGCTAGAGGAATGTCGACGCGGTCCGTGAGGACCGCGGTAGCATAATTGGTCGGTGCATTCGCCCGGATTGCGAAGGGTGCGGGTTCGAGTCCCGTCTGCTGCCTGGTCCGCGTGGTATTTTTTGTAGTTATATTTTCTTTAGATTTAAACATCAAGCAGTTAAAATAATAAAAATTATAAATACAATACAAATGAAGAACCTGATGCATACTATTTATTTTCTTTCATCCAGTGATAAAAAGTTGAGTACACAAGCTGCTTAAGGTAATTTTATCCACTCTTTTTCATTGTGTTATGTATATGTATTACTATATGGTTACTATGGAAATTTAAGTTTGTCGATAAAACCTCGAAAAAATACAGTTTTTTTACTTAACTAGATATATTTTCATTTAATTGCTTCTTCTCTCAGGATCAGAAACATGGTCCTTCGAGCCGGATTTGAACCAGCCAGCATTAAAGAAGTCGTAAAATACAGTTAAACACCCTTATTTTTCCACGTGTAGGTTCAAGTGGGTTGGGGGGGGGGGGGGGGGGGCAGCGAAACCAGAGGCACAGTGTATAGGTCTGATGATAGTTGCTTAAGATGGAAGCATATGAAACTAATTTTTATTAGTGGTTTTCCACTCAAACTCAATCTCAAAAAATATTTATTCAATCAGGCTGTTCAACCACTTGTATTGGTCGAGAAGCTATGCCATCGATTCACAAAACTACAGGGGGAGACCTTGTACTGAGAATAACTGGCAAGAATTATATACAGAGTCGTCAATTTAAAATAAAAAGCTTCGGAGATATTTCTGAAGTCATCTTTCCACTTAAAAACAGATCATAGACTCATAGGAAGACAGGCGCGCCAAATTTATGTGTGAGCAAATGCTCATAACTTGACCAACTTGAGCAAATGCTCATAACTTGACCAACTGGTCGATCTAGGGTGTGAGCGCTAATTGCTACGATTGTTTGGTGTCGCGGTGTTTGATTCGCTATTATCTATTAGGTGAAAGTGTAGGAAGGTCGAGCCGGCGACATCGGTTCTCGTACAAAAGGTCAATGTTACCTCTTCTAACCTGTTTATGTGTTCTGTGGTAGTGATATTCCTTATGTTAAACTATGCGCCTTGTTACCCTGTACCCTACTTAGGATCAACATCTACTTTTACTTCAACAGTTATGATATAAATAACTACATAATATATCTTACTACTTACGATGAGCAAATTCGTACTTTGAACTTAGATTAAAACAAAAAGGGAAGATATGGCATTCGCGGCTCAAAAGTGATCCGCTTAAATTGTGGTCCACGACCATAATTCGCATTAGTCACAATTTGACATTCAAACACGCTGCATGTACACTCAATATAACAATATTGCGTATATTCTGTGTTATGAAGATATAACAATGCCTTCGATGCTTTTATAAAGAACACAAATAGTTCAACATTAAATGCCCCGGCAACACTTTTCATTCGTAAAACTGTGAAAACATTTTTTTCTCAAAAATCACGGTTTGTCGTGAATATTATTTACGTAATCGCCATTTTGTAAGCAAGAAAAGGACAACAATACGCTGCGTTGAAGCGTATAGTTCTTTCTCGCTCGCTCGATTGATGTTTATATACAGACGTGTGCGTGGCGAGAGTTGCTTATGTAGTTGAGTCGGATCATATTTTATTTGATGCTTGTATGAGCGTACCGTATCTACCCTTTTTGTTTTAATCTAAGATTTTGAAACACATTTTAGTACTACACGTAAGTGATAATAATAATATTTACATAAAATCAAGGCGCCTATTGACCCGTAATTTATTTACATAATATATATGTTAGTTAGTTAGATAACATTAACGTAATAAATCAACACTCAATATGCGCGCATAATGCTTATGATTAATTTGTACTGTCGTTTTGAAAATATATACTAACCGAATCTGAAATATGAATTTATCAATAAATGAAGCGTTCTATAAAATATTTAAGTTGAATTTTATTAAACGTAAACACGTTAGTAAAAAACACCACCGTTTAACTCTCATCAATTGAATTCAATTGAACGAGTTTCTCGGACTCATCCCAAAGTGTTTTAGCTGCCTTCGTATCGTAGACTGAATCATGAGCTGCAATTTCCTTGCAATCCCTAAACAGTTTCCCGCTTGTATCACGTACACTTTCTGCGACTGCAGCATGTATTGCAGTCTGCGCTCCATGCCAAGGAGTCTTCCAAAAAATATTGAGCCACAGCTTAATCAAAGAACCCACGGACTTTCCAAAACCTTTTTCATAAATCGCAGTGGCAACTCCACCGGGGTCAACCGAGTGTACGATCACATTACTGCCCTCCAATCTTCTAACCAATTCCTGGGCGAATAGTAACAAGCACAATTTACTATCCGAGTAACTTTTCAATTTTGATTTTATGCCGGGCGAATTCATATTACCGTATTCGTACTTTCCCGTGCGATGCAGAAGTGATGCGATATTCACTATCCTGCTCTTGTCTTCTAGAGTACCCGTCTTTTTCAATAGAGGAATCAGTAAGTTTGTCAGCAAGAAATGTCCGTAGTAGTTAATCTGCATAGTGTACAACATGCCGTCTGCTGTTAATTTGTCACTAGGTCCAATGCCTGCGTTATTTATTAGAATATCTAACCTATGTTCTGTTCGCAAGATTTCCAGAGCGAAATTCCGCGTGGAATCCAAGGACGCCAGATTCAGTTGTTTGAATACGACCTCCTGATTGCCAGAGTCTTTAACAATATTCTCCTTTGCATCTTTTCCCTCCGGGGTGAATGGGCAAGCTATAATGACTCGAGCACCACGTTTCGCGAAATCCTTCGCTATCTCTAGACCTATTCCTGAAGTGCCACCTGTCACTACACAAGTCTTCCCATCTAATCGCACCTTCGACACACATACTCTATAACTCAGTTTCTTTTTCAGCCATATCGAAATAGCGGCTGCCGTTATTAGCACGCTTGTTACTGCGAAGAGCTCACTATACATATTGTTGCGTCACGACGGACTGTCCAAATGTGAGACCAGCGGTAGCGGAGCTGCCTTAGCGAAATATTCAAATTTTTTATACAATTACGTCAAAGTCTGAATCGAATCAAAGTCCACATGATATTAGTAAAAAAAGGTTATAGAACATCTTGTGAGCATTGAGGGTCAAGTACCATGTAGAAATTTATTTGTATTTCATGCTGCGAAGGCCAATAAAATGTTTTTCTTTTCTTTTCTTTCTTTCTTTCAAATTTAGGATGTTTCTTATTAATGTTGGGTATTTTTTGAACAAAAAAACTATGTCGTACAAAAAAAATGCTTACTGTATAACAACAAATAAATTGGTCAATTTTCTGAGTAAGTACATAGTTGAAACACTGATATATATTTATCTCGTGATTTAATATGATAAATAATAGTTTCATTAAAAAATGTGTACCTATGCCCTAGGCCCTATGTAAATAATTTCTTAATTATATAGTTTTGGAATGGGTTCGTCGAGGATTTTATATCGGTAACAATATTTTTCTGACAACCAAGTTTAGAATTATTACTAACCCTTATATATATTTGCCGTGTCATATTTAAAAAAATAATAGTAATTTTACTCCGAAACATGGCAACTGCGGACTTTTAAATATTGCTAAGAAACTTTACCGGCGATCCTTAGCCGGTTTTTATTAATCAACATCTATTAAAGTTGATTAATAAAAACCGGCTACTTTTGACGTTTTTTAGATACACTTGACAGCAAATAAACCGGTTCTCCGGTTCTGATTCGATTTAATAAAAAAATATACAACTTGCAAATATCAAAGCTATATCTTCTGTAAGTGCGTTTCTTGATTGAAATAACAAAACATTATTGTAAAATATTGTCAACTTACTTTGTAATTTATGCTAGTGATTTTTTTATCAGTTATTTAGTTTCTGTCCATCGTTTTCTCAGATGTGTGTATATTTTTACAACCGATTAATACGACTGAAACACAACCCTTCTTTGGAAAAATCTGAATACAAACTTTGACCCTATCATCATCATAGCGTATAGCCAATGGAACTGCGTCCTCCTAAACCTCAATTTTCAAGTTTTCCAGCCATTCTATGACCGCAGATGTCAATTCGTTGAGCTCCTTCAAGCCGCCAGAAAAACGGTACAGTGTCTTTTCTTTTCGTAGTTGTCTTCGACAACGTGGAGTAAGGTTTAGTCCGGGACGCAGCACTCACAGGCTGATGTGTCCTTAAGTCCCCATTTGTACAGATGGTGGTTTGACCACCCCTGTCCTGTTCTGAACCTGTTCAGTTTGACCCACAATGTACGTTAGTTCACACACTGCAGACCTATGTTTCATATCTATAATATGTTCTTGTACCCGAGTCCCCATACTCCTCTTTGTTTGCCAGATGTAGGAGAGTCCACAGTCACATTCGAGTTTGTAGACACCAGCAACTGGAAATTAATGATCAAACGAACTTACCTCAAGTGAAGTTCGATCCAAATTATATGAGCAGCTTCATTTTTTGCGATTTATGCATACATGTTGTAGTGACACTTTGGGGTGCCACTACAACATAAATCAATCAAAAGCATAGATCGCAAAGAATGAAGCTGCGAAATATAATGGTATAGGAGGAGGTGACTAAAGACCTTGAGCCTCTTCAATTACGCCGTGACGTGGCGACACTGAGCGCGTTCTATCGTCTGTACCACGGCGAGTGTTCTGAGGAGTTATTCTCTCATATCCCACCTTCCCCTTTCCTTCAGAGGACTAAGCGCGCTGGCCTACGTTGTCACCGTCTAACTATGGCCACAATAGGGGTGATGACGGGGTACAGTAAACGAAATTCTATTTAGTCCGTCAGTTAGATGATCAAAAAATAATGGACACGTATTTTTTGTTTGGGCAATCAACCAAAAAATGACAAAGTTAGAGCGCGTCAAAGTTTGGGAGTAGGGGCTCGTGACGTCACTTTTGAGTGAATTTTCCCTTATAAGCGTACTCAAACGTGACGTCATGCGACTTTTCAGATCAATATATCTCTGCAATATTTATATTATGTGAAAAAAGAAAAAATACGTGTCCAATACTTTTTGATTATCTACCTGATAAACGAAGAAAAAAAAATAGTCATCATCCCTATTCCAACGCGTACAAAGAAATTTGGTGACTCATTTCTTTGTCGTACTACCCGTAAATGGAATGCTCTGCCCGCTCACGTGTTCCCTCCCTCTTACAACCTCCTTTAAAAGAGGCGTGAAGAAGCAACATGCAGGTCGGCAGGGTGAGAATGGCTGGTGTGGCAGGTAGAACTGCTGTATCAGCTATCTTCGCGTCTGGACTTCACCTTCACTTAACATCAAGTGGGGTGGAGTCATATGTCGGACCTATCTATAAAAAAAATGCATTTGACAGGTCGTAGAAACTGAAACACTATTATTGAAACATCGACCAAAGTTACAACGAACTACACGAACTTTATATTATGTTACTTGCTACTACGGAACCCTTCATGGGCGAGTCCGACTCGCACTTGGCCGCTTTTTTTGTATTTCAGTTCTCAGCAATGAGGGCTATCGCGTATGAATCCGCCGCTAGAGGCGCTAGTGTAGCGTGAGGTCTCCGAAATGTCAAATGCTATTGCTTGTTTCTTATTAAAATAATGTTGTGAATAATTGGTAACAATTCGGCTTAATTATGGCAAATATGAGTTATGTGGCAATGTATGTCAGTTATTAAAAATTTGAGCTTAGAAAAATGATTATGTTCCCATTTTTTCCGAATAAAACGGAACTGGGCGTCACTGTGGCATGACCTATTATGTTTAGGATATGGTTCTTTTGTGTTAAAATACGATCTAAATGCAACCTTTGATTTCATGTGCGTATTAATAAACTTTAAAAGTTACAATTTAGGACCTCACTCAACAGTGGCGCCATCTGGTGAGACAGAAAACGGTAACCCTCATTGCAATAATTTATGCAAACAGCGTCAAATTCACTTCACAGCTGGCTTTTATGCTAAGAATTTAAGTGTCTCAACATAGTTCGTGCAAGAGCATTTTATTATTCAATAAAAGAAGTTTTTTATATATCTTTAGATATTTATTTATACAGTTTTCTTATGAAAATTATATTAGACTTTTTACAAATATTATAACACATTTGACTTAAACAATTTTCATAAATATATCTAAGAATATCACATCATTCCAGATGACACGCATTTCATTTGTACATTATAAAGTAATCATAACTTATTAAGAAGGCAATAACAATTATGTTACTAAGCATACCCCCCCCCAATCTTAGGTCAAATTGAAAAATCTCAAAAATTTGCCAAATAATAAAAGGAAATATCGAGCTATTCCCTAACAGATAAATTTATAGTTTACTGACATCTAGTAGTGTTTTTATGAACTACGTACGATGGCCAAAATAACTTGGAAATTACATCTAGTACTACTAGTTTAGAAACAAGGAACTGAACTACGTAGTTTTGGTAATTCTAGCAAAATCGACATGCATCGTTCGTCGCAATAATGTTTATTTTATTCCAGATGCCTTTTTTCTTCTTTTTATTAGTGTAGTGAGTGACCCCCTCCAAAATTTCAGGCTGCGACCGCGCCTGATAGACAGGGACAAAATATGGAGTAACTAATCCAAACATACTCTTCGTTTATTAATAAGGAGGCTTGAGCTTAAACTGTAGACAACAAAATCTGCGCAGTGAAAATTTTGCATACAAATGCGTCTTCTGGGCAAGTTTCTGTGTCCATAGTTTGTTATACTAAGGATGTGCGCCGCTCCCGCTATTTATATATGAATTGATTCATTTGTCCCGCACAAATTGATCATTTACAGGAATTCTTAAAATCTATGAATAAATACGTGATAGTCCATCGTCATATATCATATTCATAATCAAAAGGTAGAGGCACCAATGCCCGACAAGAACAAATGATCGTATTTTTTTTCTGTGATCAATGAACATATAGAGTACGTAACCGAATACTAAATATGGTAACAACGAGATATAGATATAGTGTAACCATATTTTGTGATTGGTTACCTGCTCCACAACGAGCTATAATACGCTCGGTGTTACAATATTTTGTGGTAAATAAATAAATATGAATATTACTAACACTCACACTAATTAGCTTAGCCTCAAAATAAGCATTGTAGGCTTGTGTTATGGGATACTTACGTAACGGATAGAATACATTACTAAAACATTTATAAGTATATTAATATAGAAATACATATTAAACATCCATGATTGGAGTAAAAATGCTCGTATTCGTCACATAAACATCTGCCCCCACCGGGATTCGAACCCGGGACCTCTCGAAGAGGTGACACCTTGAAACCCGGCGTACATACGGCCAACGAGGTCGTCAAGTAGGTAGGTTACTCTTATTTTCATTGATCACAGAAAAAAATACGATCATTGGTACTTGTCGTTCATTGGTGCCGCTACCTTAAATCACCTTTTAACTCCATTGTTGTCCAAGTACATTTCGCACGTCACAAACAATAGGGTATTAAGTCGGCGAAACTATTTATTTTTTTATTTGCGTTTCAAAAACAACATTTTTTCTATAAACTGGTAAGATAATTGTATTTTAATTCGAAATAGTTTTTGAATTATAGCAACACATGTCGTCAATTTCTAGGCAAACTTTATGATTGTGAGTATTCTAAACAGTATTAAGTTAAGCTAATACCCTATTGCCCGTTCAGATTAATACAAGTTTGTAGTTTTATTTCAAAAATTACCCTCGGGCCTGTTCAATTTTATTTGATATGTTATTTTTAGCGAAATTATATTAAAATGATACTTACTAGTTGTAATTTTAACATGAGCCATTTGATCCATTTGAACTGCTTATAGGGTATTCTTTTTACCCAGTCACATAAAAGTACTGTTAAAATAAAAACTACTATTGATACACTAACTAAACTTACTCAACACAAAGAAAGATAGTGTACGTTTAAATCAAGGTATCACTTTAAACCTATGAACAAGTAGTTCCACTTCAATGATTTTTTAAAACTTCAAAACGCGATATCTCAAAACACTGTTTTTGAAGATTGTTGTGACGTGGGATACCTATTATGATGCAAACTAAATTTCCATTTTATTCATACGTTTAAGGTAAGTTATTTAGTCCTAAAATATCAATAATAATTGTTATTCTAAAATTGATTATTTTCTAGTGCGGTTTGCTTGCAACCACAATTATGCATGCAGTGCTCACGATAAGAAATTTTAGTTCGAATACAATAAGCTATTTGGCAAGTTTTTGAAAATGTTCATACGTTATTTATGAGTTTACATAATTATAGCGACTGCATAAAAAGTGGATATTAATAACTCTGTTGCGTATAACAGAAAAAAAATGTTTTCAAATATGCCACGGAAACGTTTCTCAAAAAAATATATCTCTGCGTCTTACAGCTGGGTGACGTCACACGGCTCTCATTAGAACGTCAGTACAAAGTGATGTCGCTTCAACAGCATGTTAACACGCAGATGTCGTTTTTAGGCACCACCAATCCTAGGCGTTTTTATTAAAAAAATCTTTTCTATTTCATATATTAGTAATATCATGACCTACTTTTTTAATGAATGCATGAAAGCGCTCCCAATTTTCGTGTTGAATGCACATGCTAATTATTGGTGCTTTATTATTCATACTGTCAAATATCCTTTTTAACATAATGTTGTGAAAATAAGTTAGTTTTCATAATTCAAATTCACTCTTTAGCGCTTTTTTTAACGTAAGTTTCACGTTGTATATAGAGGTTCTGAGTATAGTCGGGTTGGCGAAGAAATGTTGCTGGCAGCCATTGGAGGCGGTTCCCTCGCTATCAACAATGCTGACCGCGCACGTTTCTTAGCTGAAACGTTAAAAATATTTTATTCAAGCTCACAATACAAGTAGCATTTTCATTTTTTTGTTCATAACATAAAATAACAGTTGGATTATTTATTTATACATTATGCTGGGCACAATACATGTTTTAAAAGATTTGCACCAATTCATATTCATATTCATATTTATTTACAAGAAACATGGTACAATAAAAAGATGTTACAATACATATGGTGCTCAAACATGATTCAAATATCATCATTAATATAAAATAATTTGATATTAGCATGCAAATATCAAATTATTTTATATTAATATTGTAATTGGTCACACTATTGTTAATCATACCAAAACATTAATTCCATTTAAACATGTTAATTAATCGTCATACGTCATCACATAAACATGTTAAGAAATCCATAATATTATTGATTAAAAATAAGTTATAATTTTCAATATACCAATATAATAATAGTAATCATTTATTCATAACCCTCAACATTTTACATTTAAAGTATTCAGCTAATAAAGTCTACAGGTTTTTATATAAAAGTCTGAAAAAATGGACCCCTAACCCAGAAACTAGTAAAAACTGTAATTATCAGGGTTAGTGATTCCTCGGTCGACAAATTTGCAAAAATATGTTAATTTTAGTGCAGGCGAATAGGTTTGACTACAGCTGTTGAGGTGAATAAGCAACTAAACGAAACTAAACAAAACAATTTATCAAATATTGATTAAGTGTGTGCGTACAAGTATGAGTGAAATTATATTGGTGGTGTGTTTGTGTATGTGTGTGTGTGTAAGTGTGTGTTTGTGTGTGCAATATACATAGCCTATACATATATCAATTTCACAATTCTCTCCCTAACGGCTTGTACCATGTTCTACCCTGCGACGCTCTGCAAGCCTACTCACAAACAAAAACGCTAAAGCATCAAACGAGAGCGTTTTAGAACTGTGTCTTTTGTTATTGGCACCTCCGAATCTAAAAATCAGCTATGCCCTAACTCTCTTATCATATTTTTCTCAGTTAATTATGAAATGCATGGAACTTATGGAGCTCTATGGTGCGGGTGGTAAGCGGTGGCGGCTGCGATCGTTGAAGTTAAGCAACTTTTGCAGTGGTCGGTAATGTGACCGATGGATGGGTGATCAAAAATCTTCTTTCTCGAGTTCCTCCGTGCTTCGGAAGGCACGTCGAGCTTTTGGTCCCGGCTGCATCTGGGCCCGCATGGTGGGTCATGGCCCAATGTCCCTATTCCATCCATGGGGAAGGCCTGTACCCCAGCATTGGGGACATTAATAGGCTGATGATGATGATGATAAAATAATGAAATGACCCCAAACCCAATTCGCTTCATCATCATCATTATAGGCCTTCCCTATGGATGGAATAGGGAGATTGGGTGCAAACGACTGCAGATGCAGCCGGGACCAACGGCTTAACGTGCCTTCCGAAGCACGGATGAGCTCGAGATAGTAATTTTTGGTCACCCATCCAATGACCGACCACTGCGAAAGTTGCTTTATTTCAACGATCGCAGCCGAACGCGCTAACCACTTGCGCCATCGAGCTCCTCTAATTCGCTTAACAACCTAAGAAATTACTTACCACTAGAGTGCATGCAGCATAGAGCCAGTATTGCTATGAAAGCTGCTAATGGTAGTATGCCTGCTAACGCAAGGAGAGCATGCTGCGCTGGCGAATGCTTCGTTACCGAGGGTCCACAACTAGTTATATTGTGAACGTTGTATGCCTCCAATATTTCCTGGAATTCCGTTCCCAGGGAACGTATTGTAGCTTTCATCGCCTTCGGTGTGAGGGCCTCTCCTGTCTCTGTTTTTCGAAATTGGAAGCATGGCCTGAAACATAATTTTGAAATTATTAAACAAGGTTAATTCATTGATAAATTTAATTTAGTTATAATTTTTATTATTTTAAAGCATGTAACTTTTTAATGTTTAAATCTAAAGAAAATATAACTAGAAAAAATTCCACGCGGACCAGGCAGCAGACGGGACTCGAACCCGCACCCTTCGCAATCCGGGCGAATGCACTGAACACACATTGTGGGTTACCTATAATGCGAAGAGGTGGCGCTGCCTTGCAGCTTAAGAATGGCTGGAAGAATTTTGACGCGGTCCGTCAGGGTCGCGGTAGCATAATTGGTCAGTGCATTCGCCCGGATTGCGAAGGGTGCGGGTTCGAGTCCCGTCTGCTGCCTGGTCCGCGTGGATTTTTTTCTAGTTATATTTTCTTTAAATTTAATTTAATTTATTGTAGGCACCAACGACCGGCAGCAGCCAATGATCGACATTTTTTCTGTGATGATTAAAAGTAGTAGTAGGTGACCAATCGCTAAGAGCCTGAGCTGTGTTAAGTGGGAGCACGGATCGGGCGTCCGCTACGCGTGTTTTTTTCATGTTATTTCATAGAGCAGCGCTGTGAAAGCCGGGAACTAGCTAAGAGGGGAGTAGACACAAAAGTGTATGGTCCGGAACCTTTGCTGCCCATACCTCAGGCCCAAATTAAAATGTGGCTGCGTGAAATAACTCAAAAATCACACTTAACGGAGTGGAAAACAGGTGGAGGATGCCGGCAAACGAAAAACGCGGTTCCAACGGCAAATAAAAGTTTTGCCCGCACCCTTACCAGACTAAATAGGGACAAACTTTGCAGGATTATAGGATCACTGACTGGTCATTGTCCCCTAAACAAACACCTATATACAATAGGAGTAACGGACAGCCCCCTATGCAGAGGATACATGGAGGCAGAAGAAACCCCACAGCATGTCATCATGGAATGCAGGAGTGTGGCCGACCAACGGGCACGACTTCTCCAGTCACTAGAATCGTTTTCGGAAGCTTGCAGCAGTCTACCAAGGTTGCTTTCCTTCTGCACCGATATAGGCTGGCTGGAGTAAACGGGAATGTTTTTGAGACACGCAAAATGGTCTAATAATTAGGGCTTAGTGCAGAAACCGCCCTGAAGAACTAACTAACTAACTAAAACTATGTCCATCACACGACGTGCAATCAGGGGAAAGAACATTCGGATACTCTCTGACAGTGCCTCGGTACAACAGTCGCTAGACAACAATATAATGACGTCCGGCCTGGTTTTTGAATGCCACTGCAAACTTATGGAGGTAGGCAAAGAAAACGAGGTCATACTCCAATGGATAAAAGGACATAGTGAGTCAAGGGCAATTATGCGGCAGATTGTCTGGCCAGGAGAGGATCGGACACTGTGGTATTTGGCCCAGAACCAATCGTACCGATCCCATACCGACTGCTGCGAGGTTGAATTAGGGAACGATACCTGCGACAACATAACGAATACTGGGCTGGACTTGCAGACTGCAGGCACGCCAGGGATAACTAAGGTAGACCCACGGCTAGCAAGTAAGTTTTGCAAGTTACCAAGACATGCTTTGAAACAAATAGTGAGCATTCTCACAGGACACGGACACTTTAATAAACATCTTTTTAAAATAGGTATCTCGGACAGTCCTCTGTGCAGAGCCTGCATGGTGGAAGAGGAGACGAGCACTCACGTTCTGCTATAGTGTAGAGGCGTGACCAGACAACGGATGACACACCTGGGCAGTCCGCAGACGCTACTCGAGGCCTGCGGAGACACCAAAAGACTGCTGAGCTTCTTGGGGAACTTGGTACGGCATGACTAAAGCCATCCTCTCACGGAAAATAGGCACCTGGTGTCGAGTTGCGGAAAACACCCATCATTTAGAAAAAGAAGAACAGAGCCGGGTCTCCCGCGCAGTTCTATGAAATAACATAAAAGCTACTTCCGCTTAACGCAGCACAGGCCGTATTTGGTAACGCCGAGCTATAGACGCTACCATAGGGCAATTCTGTAAAATAAAATTTCACTACCGATTTCGGTAGCTGCCATTTTAGACATTAGTTTGATATGCATTACGCCTTTACATGGCAAAATGTCGCTATGTCTGTAGAAGCAGCCAGTATAAGATATTTGACACTTCTCAGAAATCCGAATAAATGAGATCGTAAGTGAGATTGCATCTTACAGAATACCAATGCTGCTCTTGGTTTCATTTCACCTTATCCATTGAAAAATGAAATTTATTTCAGTGATGTAACTATTGAGGAAAATTAGCGACGTTACTTTTTTTATATTGATATTAAAGTAAGGTGCTAACTAACGCGTTCTGGATGGTACAAACTACATCGATACCAGCTTATCTTAACAAGAGGAAAATTTGTATTATTGAACTGCACTACAGAAAGTTGTACCAAACATAATTTATATGATTTTACCTATTATAAAGTAAACATCTTACCCGGGATTCAAATAGAAAGCAGTATGGGAGGCATCATGCAGCTGCATACGAAGACCTCGTGGTGCTAGCGCAGAAGACATTCTGTCTCTAAGTTGACTGTATCTCGCCCTTGTTCCTCCTGGCAAAACTAGACGCAGCAGGTCTCTTTCACGAACTACAACGACCTGGAAAAGTTTACAAAGATAATATATTCTGTATAACTATCTACGGGTTCAATTTTCATTTATTAACTTGTACCCGAAAAATATATTTAATAATGAGAAGATGACGCTATAGCTAAGCGCTATCAGGGCAGACTTGTTCACCATGTTAATAAACTTGCGGTGGCTCTCACTGATGTTAGCAAACACACCAAAAGACTCAAAAGATGTACTATCGGTGAGCTGGAAAACAGGCATTAACTGAAGATCAGTGTGGAACAATGAGAGAAGAGCTTTTTGTTCAAAAAGCCATCTCGCACGCCCGAAAAGACATTGAAAAGCGGTAACACAAAAAAAATGAGAAGATGATGATAATGGATTGAAGATGAGTGTTTTTTTTTTATTTATTATTAGCTCACAAAACAAGTTAAAATTATAAAAAAAAAACAAAGCAATTACAATAATAGAAAACCAAACTGTAACTCTAAATATGTGGGCATTACATGATTAAATTTTATGGGCTGAAGTTTACACTAAAGAAAAAATAAGTATATATCGAATTTCAACAATTAAACAACAAAAAAAAAAATCACTTAAATAAAAGTAAAAATTAACCGATTCTTTTTAACGAAGTATCAATCGTTGGATTTCTTTCCGAAATTCAAGAAGTCGACTAGAAAAAATGTCCAAGGAAGAATGATCCACATGCAGGTTATCGTATTGACGACACGTATTTGTGATTGGATTATAAAAGGACGTGTGGTTTTTATAAACTTGCAGAGCAAATACCCTATGGGTGTTTGCATGTGTGTGGGTGTTTTGTACAGGCAATGAAATGATTTGTCAAAGAAGTTACCTCAACTAAAAGATCACTAAATCTTTCCACATTAAATGAATTGTTGGCTCTCACACGAAGCCTGTAAAACAGAAATAAATATTATATTAAATTACCTTTACGGTCATGTTTAGTTATTATAATTACATTCAGAATTGTATTGTCAATAAACAACAATATATACCTGAATATTCCATCAGCATAATGAATCAAGTTTTTCATTATTTTCAGTTCTCCAGTAGCGTTATTCAACTCTATGGTATCAGTGACGTTACTTAAAGATTTTGATTTAATTGGTGACTCAAAACTCATGTTGACAATTGTATACAGTATTGGTAAGGCTTCTGGGTCTTTGTCAATAGCCTTCACGGTTGCGATATTGGTATCTATTGGCACGTTTAATCTCACACCGACAGTCATATTCGCACTTTCAAATTCTGGTAAGTGATCATCGACGTCCAACACTTTGATTAAAACTTGAATTTCAGAAGGATTCTGTAATGAAGATGTTATAGAAAGGTTGTTTAATTACTAGTCTAGTCTTTATAATTAAGAACTGTTGGAGTTAGAATGTAGAACAGTGGTACAATAAGAGTTACGTACTAATCTATTGTAAGTTTTACTCAATCGTGGTTGTGAGCCATACTTGAAGCATTTAACGGTGATGATTTGTCTGGAAATTTCTTCTCTATCTATTCTAGCAGCTACTTTCAACAAGGCTTTGCTATCATTCTGACGTTCAAGGCTAAGTAATCCAAAATTATTCCCAGCTGAAAACATACAACTGTTAATATATAAAAATGGTGCAAGTATATTTACAATGAGGTAGTAAATAATATAACCTGTTATAGCATAATCTATAGCAGCATTATCACCAATATCTTCATCAATGGCTTGTAAAGTACCAATAACAGTACCAACTGGGACTTCTTCCATAATAGTCATAAGAAGGGGTGGATCATCCTGTGAATGATGCAAAATTACAATTAATAGTAATATTGTAGTGATCATATTTATTTTATATTATTGTTATACAAATAATAATAAAAGTCGATTAAAGTCTTTATAATCATATTTAAAGTTATTACCAAGTTCCTTGCAAAATGAGGCTTATGATCATCGACGTCAGTAATGGTAACAGTTACAATTCTTGTGCTTTGCTGTGGAGGTTGACCTCTATCTGTCACCAAAAGCACTAAAGTGTAAGATGCTTTACGTTCTCGGTCTAAAGATTGACGGGTCATTATTAAACCTGAATGAGCATCTGAAACAATTTTTATCAATATTAAAATTTGTATATATTGTTTTAAACTTTCATGGTCACTAACATTATAGTAATATAAGTTATTTACGGGATTGTTACTATGTACCTTGTTTTTAGCGAGTTTCCGATATTTCGGCACTGTTGCAAGCGCCATGAAACTCGCTAAAAACAAGGTACATGGTAACAATCCCGTAAATAACTTATATTACTATAATTGTATATATTGATTCAATTTATTTTTACATAGTGTTTTTTTCGGTACTTTATAATTTTCTACACTGATTTTTGGTTTATGAGCTGATGAGATTGATAATTTTATCGAAAAACTTTTTTAAGGTACATACCAATAGAGAATGTTTTGGCATCCATGTTACTTTGTTGTATTGAATAATATAATTGTCCAGATGGTTGAGTAGGATCATCAGGATCGCTGGCTACTACTTGAAATACTGGTGATCCTATAGTTGCATTCTGTAACAGAAATAATGTATTTTACCGTTACAGCAAGTTGTACTTTATATAACGAATAATGTTTTTCAACGGTTATTCAAAAATATTCTGATGATCATTATTACCTCGCTAATACTAAGAACTTCACCCATAGCTGGTCTAATAAATCTCGGCACACCATCGTTAGCACTAACATCTCCAATATAAAGAGATAAGGATGTGTCTCCAATATGGCCTCCACCATCTGTAGCACCAATTAGAATCCGGTAAGGATCTGTCCGACCTCTACCAGTTAGATCCTTGCTAGTCGTTATTACACCTGTTTTTGAATCTATATTAAAAAGACCTGCAATATTAATAAAAAAAAATTACCATCACAAAGTTTCTGTAACAAATAAAAAGGACGATAAAAATTTGCTATTTATAATAATTGAAATAGTATTAGACTAACCAGCTGCCTCTCCTTCATCTAAAAGTTCATATTTAATTTCACCACCTAATCCTTCATCAGGATCTGTAGCGGTAACTTTAGTTACACTAATCCCAATAGGCACATTTTCTGGTACTACGGCTGAAATAAAAGGAAGTGAAAGTGGAGTACACAATAATTATGAATGCCAGGCTTCGTTATTTATGGTTTCTTCAAATTATATTCAAATGAGAATAACAAATACCTGTGTATACGTTTTTCTCAAAAGTGGGTGTGTTATCATCAACATCTAAGACATCCACTAATATGATAGCAGAAGATTTTAACCTATCTGCACCACCCTTTGGTGTATCGTAAGCTTCAACCTCTAAGCGCAGAACTGATTGACGTTCACGATCCAAACTTTTGTTTTGTCTTACCTTAAAATATTGTATATTTAATTAATTATTTTTAATATACACTCATAATTTTGAATAATACAAGTAGTATAAAATTGAATGTATTTTTTTTAAATAAATAAATCGATTATATTTAATGAATTTCTTCATAAATATTATAGTTATATTTTTACCTGTATAATACCAGTCACGTTGTCGATAGTAAAAAGATCAGAATTTTCTCCTCTTAATAAATAGCGTACTTCTGAAAATCCTTTCAATTTATCATCGTCTGTTAAAACGGCATCCTTATCCATTGCTTTTACAGTAACTATCACTTCGGGATATTGTATAGATTCCAAAACACTAACTTTGTATGTCTAAAATTGAAAAAAAACTTAAAAATTAAGACTGACTGAAAGTATAGGTTAGTACTTGAATTCGGAATAAAATTTAAGCCAATTAAGTACCTCTTTATCAAAAGTTGGTTCATTATCATTTAGATTTAAAACCTCAATAATAATTTTTGCCTCACTGTGTTTAGTACCGTCATTGCTAGTTGCTTTCACTGTTAAAGTTAAATTAGGTCCCGTCAAGCGTTCATAATCCAGGTGATTTGTTAGTAACACTTGACCGCTTGAAGGATCTACTTGCAACAAATCTGTTTCTGAATTTATTACTTTGAAATTAGATACTACGTGTCCTGACATTGGATCTTCTGCCATTAGAACTAATACAGTACTACCTATTGGTTGTTCCTCTTTAACCTTGTGATGTATAATTGGATTTGAACTTGACCAACCCATATTTATAAACTGCGGATTTTTGTCGGCATATGGTTGAACATATATAGTATGTTCAGTCATTGCAAACTGTTTTTCCTTATTTAATTCCGCATTAACGTCTACCACTTTAATAGTTAAAATGATTATTGATGCTTGACTATAGTCCAAAGTACCATTTACAAAAATTTCACCTGTGTTTTCATCAATTCTGAATATATGTTTGTAATCATAAGCCGAATTTGATTTTAACTGCACTCCAGCTTTTGAAAATGCTTTTATTGGATCAATCAAGTTAAACACAAGTTTAGAATTGGCATCAGTATCGTGTGCTACAATTTTAGTGACCAAATGGCCAGTTTTTGTTTTCTCTGAGATATATGTTGTAGTTTCTGTCATATTAAACTTAGGTGGTTTATCATTGACATCTTGTATTGTAACAAAAACAGTCGTGGTGGCAGTTTCTGGAATAGGCATGCCACTGTCGACCGCGGAAACAATTATTTCATATTTATCTGCATTAACATCACGGTCAAGATTTGCGTCGTTTGAAACGGTTATTAAACCTGTTCTGAAATAAAGATTTTATTGGTTTATACGTACAAAGTAAATACATCAACTTAATTAAAATATGTGTTATTCAGCCACTTACTTTTGGTTTATTACGAAATTGTCTTTAGCTCCAGATATTATATGATATGTAAGTAGATCATCTAGGCCATCAGGATCATTCGCTAGAACCATAGTGACGTTTTCTCCAGGTTTCGCATCTTCCCTCAAATTAGCCTTGTAGTTCATTGGATTGAGATCAAAAGTAAAATCTTCATTGCTGTCTGTATTTTTTTGAGAAGCAGTGTACTTATAATGGTGATAATTGCCTTTGAATGTAGGACGCTGGTTTCCTGGCACTCCAACCCTAATATAGACCTTTGTTTCATTATGTAAAGTAGGAGATCCTAAAAAGTATTATTTTACTGTTATTTACATATTTATATATAAAATCAAATCAATACAAACATCATGCTTACCATAATCAGTTGCTCGTATAACCAATTCATATTGACCTCTTGGTGTGTCCATAGATTCAACTTTATCAACAATACTTATTTCACCACTATCTTCTCCAATATTAAACACGTTTCCTTTACGAGTGATACTATTGTCAGTTTCTATTGAATATCGTACGCGACCTCCTCCTTGAGTAGGACCATCTGCATCGGTAGCCTTTAATAAAATACATATAGTCAATCGATAAATAGGTAGTAATATTCAAGAGTTAAGTTAATTTTCAACTCTTGATTATTACATATTTTATCAAAATTAAAGGTTTCTTGAATGACTTACTCTTACTACAAGTTGCGGTTCAAAACTTGTTGCACCATCTCTTATGGTTCTACTGTATTCAAATAGTTCAAACATGGGTGCATTGTCATTGACATCTAAAACATCTATAAAAATACTAGCTGTGGTACCTTTGCCCCCGCCGTCCTTAGCAAATAGTGTCAAGCTATAGCTTTTTTGTTTTTCATAATCTAATAATTGGTTCACAAAAATACCGCCTTTGTTCTTATCAGTTTGAAACATATTGGCACCAAAACCAGTTAAAATATATTCTATTTCACCAAATATACCATAGTCCTTATCTGTGGCTTGAACATCACCCACTTTTGTACCAATAGTGGAATTTTCTAAGACATAGAATTTATAACTTGATTTATCGAATATAGGTGAATTATCGTTCATATCTAATAATTTAATATTAACTCTTGCTGATGATAACTCTACATCATACGTTGAAGAAACAATATCGAAACTAAAATGCCTTTTTTCATCATCATCCACGTCATAATCCAATTTTGAGGAATCGCGGACTTTAATGCTAACTGGTGTTCGTCCTTCACCGTGGTCAGTACTTATCATGAAGACACCTGCAGAATTATAAACATCACGAAGTTTTAAATCATACTTGCTATTTTGACCGATATCATAATCTTCTACATAAATAGATAGTCCAGGAACTGGACTTCCATTTTCGATATTTTCAGGTATTGACACTTCAAATATATTTTTATTAAATACTGGTACATGGTCATCTACATCTGTAACAATTATTGTTACTGGTGTTACTGTATAGTCCGATGGAACTTCGCTGTTTATCATTTCTGTAGCTCTCACAAAAAAACTATACACTCCCCCATTTTGCATTACAATTTCACTTTCTCTATCTATGGGGTTTTCAGAAGCTACCAAAACTGCTCGTCCAAAAGGTCTTTCTGGTAGAAGCTTAAAATATTGAGCTGAATCTCCTTCAATTGTTAGTAAGACTGGTCGTGGGTTTGCAGTATCGCCATCTTTAGCAATTATTTCCATAATACTAGTATCCTAAAAATAATATTAATGTAACGATATGTCAGTTTCAAAATCTTTTTCCAATTTTTTGCTTATTACTAGTCAAACCTGTGGTGTATTTTCTGGAACAGTTGCTGAATATGGAGCATTGACGAAAGCTGGTGGTTGATCTTGTACATCCTGTATAGCCACTGATACGCTTGCTATAGCTCTCATTGGTTTATCTGAAGCATCACTAGCTTCTAAGCTTATTACATAAGCAGATCTGCTCTCAAAATCCAGTGGCTTGTTTAGATATAACCGCACTTCATACGTATTAGAGGATGTCTAAAGAAAAATAATTAAACCAAAATTTAAGTCTGAAGTATTTTGATAAAAAATGTAAAACTTCTTAATTATAAGAATTAAAAAATAGTTCCCCTTTTCTATGTAGACTACTTTGCAGCTATATATGTACGTGTATACTAGATGAAATTTACCACGTCCGTTAAGACACTAGAACGGATGATTTTTTCTGGTAAAAAAAAATATTTAGATAGTATGAAGCATTTCAACACATACGAAAAACTTTCTTACCATATGAGTAATTATCTTAAACGTGTTACAAGCTTCTGCGTCGCTCCCTTTTTCCTTGGTAGAACATATTACACGTATTTTAGCATTGTTGCCATCATCTCGGTCAGATACAATTATTTTGGGTGTAACCTGTAATCAATTTTTCGTGTATAACTTAAGATGTCTTACTATCTTATGATGGTTCAAGTATCTAATTTTAGCGAAATTGCTTGAAAAACTAGATATATCATACCTGCTAGATGTTTTAATCTAAAGAAAATATAACTAGAAAAGATTTCGCTATCCGAGCATAAGATGCGGGTTTCAACCCCGTCTGGAACCTGGACCGAGTGGACTTTATTCTAGTAATATTTTCTTTATAATGACATAATATATTATAGTCCAGATTTCCTTTTCATATCTTTTCACAACTCACCTCGATTTCACTATCAATAGGTGTTGCTTCACTAATATTGACTATGTATGGCCTGTTGTGAAATACCGGAGGGTTATCGTTCACATCTTTGACTGGAATCACTCGACGTAGTGATATGGTATTTGGCTCGGTACCAGCTATACCTTCATCTGCAAAAAATCAAGTCGGCGTTTAATTTCAAGGTTATTTTTCCATCATCACAGACTCATGATGGCGCTATAAATAAATAATGTCCCTACTGCTAAGGTAAGGAAAAGGGTTTGATGCGTGACGCTTCAACAATATAATTATGACCAATATGAAGAAAGTATTATAAAGTCTATATCTATTTGGTACTTTTATGGTGTCATAATTTAAAATCAAAATATTTTATATCTTATTTTCTCTCAGCAATTCATTTTCTTATTCCAATGTACTGTTTATACACATAATTACAAAACTAAGTTACCAGTAATACTGATGATCACTTCTAGTGATGGCTGCTCTTCCCTGTCCAAAGTCTTGGCAAGAGTCACGACACCCGTCAATTGGTCCACGGAAAAGTATTGGCCCGATATTGAATATCGCAGTGGGCTGTTCTCGGGATCAATACCTGATAGAAAATATTCATAGTAAATTATCATTTTCTTTTTTGGCAGTGCATAGCAAATTACCCCAGTGTTAAGTGATAGGCCCCAGGTTACTGGGCAGCGGGATGGTGTGATATACTTGTCTTTTCCGTACATTGATTTGCTAGACATGGACAAGCATACCACTTCAAAAGACATTGCTCGTTCTCCATACATTGAATGCCCTAGAACGCACAGCAATGAGAAAATGCTGGTTGTGTTCGGAATCATTGGTAAACTCTAATTAGGCATTTGTTGAGATACGGACAACTTGAAGAACTGTGGCCTACTACAGAATGTATTAGATTTTGAGGTTCTGAGGAGTTATTCTCTCTTATTTCACCTTCCCCTTTCCTTTAGAGGACCACGCGCGCTGGCCTACGTTGTCACCGTCTAACTGTGGCCACAGTTCCAACGCGTACAAAGAAATTTGATGACTCATTTCTTTGTCGCACTATCCGTAAATGGCATGCTCTGCCCGCACACGTGTTCCCTCCCTCTTAACAACAACCTGGGATCCTTTAAAAGAGGCGTGAAGAAGCAACATGCAGGCCGGCAGGGTGAGGATGGCTGGTGTGGCAGGTGGAACTGCTGTATCAGCTATCTTCGCGTCTGGACTTCACCTTCACTTAACATCACGTAGGGTGGGATCATTTGTCGGACCTTTCTAAAAAAAAATAAAAAAAATAAGAAAACTCACCTTTTAAATGGTACACCGGAGTCCCGACAGGTGTGTCTTCGGATAAACTGAACTGCGACATGTCACCGGTTTGTGGCACAAAATGTGGTGCTCTGTTTATCACTTGGTTAGAACAGAATCCCAGCAGTGACATCAGGAGAAGGATGATCAGTGGGCTTGGCTCGATGAACACGATGGCCGCTGTCCGTTTTTGGAATATTATTTCTGCCATCTGGAAACAAGAAGATCAGAATTGAATCTGCTGCATAACTAGGTCAACAAAAAAATGATCAATGTTTGTGACACGCAAAACTTTTATTTTTGTTCACAAGTCTACGTGAACATAAATAAGAAAATACATATTTTAAATTATGGTCCTGATGAAATCAAATTTAAAAGCTAATCATGTATCTCTATTTGATTTTCAAATGTTTAAAAATATGGAATAATAATAATATAATATTTCCAACACTCACACCAATTAGCCTAGCCCCAAAGTAAGCACTATAAAAGCTTGTGTTATGGGATACCAGAATAACGGATAGAATACATATACTGTACATATATAAGTACATTTATATAGAAATACATATTACACATCCATGACTGGAGTACAAATGCTCGTATTCATCTCTCGAGTCGGCGACAACCATGATACCCGGCGTACAAACCACTCGGCCACGGCGGTCGTCATAATAATGTGTTAAACAGGTACAAACTTTAATTTGTTTAAAGAATTTAGGTGCAAGTGGCTTTAAGAACTCTTGTTTCGTGGGATTTATTATATTATTATAACTATAAAACGTGTTGTTATCGTTTTGTCTTGGCAAAATATTTCACAAAATATTTATTGAGTAACGTTAAAAATTGATTATGTAGCCGGAGCATGCAATGTTGGGGTCTAAAACAAGATCACCCGGTCAGCGCGATTACTACACGAAAGGGCCACGAGACCGAGACGGTTACGTAACAATTGTTTTAGGCGGCATACTAGCTTTTACATAGTCAACTTTATCATTCGGTACAGCATTAGTTGTATTAAAATTACAGTTATTGATATTATGAAGTGAAACTTCTTTACGCACGCTTGACTTGGGGGGTAAGCTGGCGAATGCGTAACGCGTTACGAAAAGTGTGTTCGGGCGAGGCGAACGGGAGTTGAGTGGGGGATATAAGCAAGAGAAAGCAGTGCGCGCGCACATTTTCTTTCTCTCTTTCTCTTATAACTAGTAACTGAAATATGTGTATGTACCTGCATGTATATATTGTACACACACACACATATATATATACATACAGATGGAGTTAAAGAAGCTTCACTTTAGTCGTGTGGTAATAAGCACACTCGTTTTTTTTTTTTGAGTATAGGGACGATAAAATCTGTGCCTCAGAGTGCTCATAAAAATGAAACCCTTTAGTATTGTCAATTAATTTAAACAAAAATGGTAATAATTGATATAACAGCCATATGGCTAGCGAGATAGCTTATAAGTAATCTCCACCTTATAGAAGACCACAGTGAAACAGTACCTTTTGTTGATACTGTGTACTGTAACTGTCGATAAGTAACGTTCGAGGGATACCTATAGGAGACGAGGTCAGGGTAGATTTAATGATACTCTTATGTCGCAACATTTTTAGGCTACTAGTAGGCAGTCGCGACTCCGTCTCATCATCAGATTATTAATATCCCCACTGCTGGGGCACAGGCCTTCCCTATGGATGGAATAGGGAGATTGGGCCATGACCCACCACGCGGGCCCAGTGCGGATTGGTGGGTGCTAACGACTGCAAATGCAGCCGGGACCAACGGCTTAACGTACCTTCCGAAGCACGGAGGAGCTCGAGATAGTAAATTTTTGGTCACCCATCCAATGACCGACCACTGCGAAAGTTGCTTAACTTCAACGATCGCAGCCGAACGCGCTAGCCACCTGCGCCATCGAGCTCCTCCGACTCCGTCTGCTTGATTTTATTGGTTTCCCATTCCAACTTCCGGCCCCCTTTTGCACACCATTAAATATGTTTATTTGAAGTGAAACAATTTTTCAAACGACGTATAAATGGAAAATATGAAACGAACGAATATATATATGTGGGATTGTGGGATGCTTGCGCGGCTCTTCTCGACGAGTATGAAATTTGAAGGGTAACTCTGGGAAACACAACGAGCGTCATACGCGACATATATTTATATACATACCTATTATACATATATTTTAGTGATGCGTGCGCTACTCCATTGCCCTTTGCCTTATACACCACCCAATGTTAGGTTACTTAAGAAATGAAGTTTCATATTTGTTTCTTAGATTTTCACGCACATCACTCATTAAATAAAACTAGTTTTTTACGGGTTAATGCACGAAACTTTATTTATTTATTGACGTTTCGTAGCCTTTACAGGCTACGTCGTCAGAATCAAAATTTTTTTTTCGACTAAATTAAATAAAATTTGATTCTGACGACGTAGCCTGTAAAGGCTACGAAACGTCAATAAATAAATAAAGTTTCGTGTACTAACCCGTAAAAAACTAGTTTTATTTAATGAAGTTTCACTTCAGATGTGGGGTCCGTGAACACATTATTTTTCACTTTCTACCGCTTTTTATGTTTTTAATACCTATATTCTTTTGACAATTATAAGCAATTTCATTAATTAGTGACTAAAGCAAATACAAAACCTTTGATTAAATTATACCTTTCATAACGATAATTTATATACAACAGGTCGTTAATTATGCATGTTGCTTTGGCTATTTTGTTTGATGAGTATATTTACCAAACGAAGAAGCTTCTCTACTGTTTTTGTCTTGCACTATGACAAAACTGACACTTGCCTTACAAGCGCCTACAATGCTTCAGTTTTGCAACACGCCAAGACAATTTACATTTAAATGAAATACTGTGGGTAAATGGCGTACAATAAATTCTATAGGGTCATAATCGTGTCAAGTGCCCCTGTAAACGGTTTTACAACTTTGAATTGTTCGCATACAGCGATGTTGATGAGATTAACTAGAAATTAGTTCGAGCTTTGGCTGAGATCGCTTCACATCAGTCGGGGTTGAGAAATCTAGATCTTGTACAAAGAAAACCTACAATGCGAAGAGATGGCGCTGCCTTACAGCCTAAGAAATACTAGAGAAAATTCATCATCATCATCATCAGCCTATTAATGTCCCCACTGCTGGGGCACAGGCCTTCCCTATGGATGGAATAGGGAGATTGGGCCATGACCCACCACGCGGGCCCAGTGCGGATTGGTGGGTGCTAACGACTGCAGATGCAGCCAGAACCAACGGCTTAACGTGCCTTCCGAAGCACAGAGGAGCTCGAGATAGTAAGTTTTGGTCACCCATCCAATGACCGACCACTGCGAAAGTTGCTTAACTTCAACGATCGCAGCCGAACGCGCTAACCACTTGCGCCATCGAGCTCCTCGCGGAGAAAATTCGACACGGACAATAAGGGCCGCGGTAGCATAATGGTCAGTGCATCCGTCCGGATAGCGGCGGGTGCTGGTTCGCTGCTGGTTGGCTGCCCGGGCCGCGTGGAATTTTTTCTAGTACAATTTTCTTAAGGAATATATTATCTTTACTTAAGTCTAAAATACTTTCGAAGTCAAATTGATATTTGGTGTCGGTGCCATGCCAACCCAAGAAGTAAATCGAATCTCAGTTCTATCAGACACGTACGTTTGTTTGCACGTCAAATATATTTGTTTTGTAAACTACAATTTTAATAAGTAAACATATTCACTAATGCATCAATGAAGTCTCGTTGAAATTAACTCATAATTATCATTGGGCACGTCACGAATTGCTGTAATTAAACAAGCTATTATCGGTAGTATATAGTTTTCGTCCCACAATAACTCACGCAATCCGATTTCCTTTAACATAACGAATGTAATGAAGCACTTTGAATTATAATAGCTCTGTCTATTATAATTCTATTTTTAGTCGTTTGTTTTTGTGCCCCAACTGTTATTAGGTGAAATTTATCAATCCGGAATTTCTCTTTGTGTTTTGTACGCATCGAATGACTCACGTTTCTAAGGTGTGTTCAGTTAACATACTTACCTTCGTTCTAGTTAGCAAAGTTGTGAAGGCAAATATAATACAACGATGATGTTGCCCTAGCTACATCTGTAAACGTTTAATATCATTGAAGGGAGGTGTGGAGCGACTTTTCTGCTCGAATGGCAACATCTGTCTAGGGACGTAACCTCCAACTTAGTGTCACCGCACACGGGCCACCGACCACAACCACATAACGCCACCGGCACCGGCATATTTCTTGTAGTTTTCATGCATTTTATATGGACTCGCCACACACGGCACGGCGGTGGCCGTCACACGCTACAAATCGTCGTTGCTGGCTTCTTGTGGCCCGCACCGGCCACTTAATGCGCTGATACAAAACGCCGTCACATGTCACTCGAGCGATTCCCCACCCCTCTCTCCCTTACCTTAGTCGGCAGCTGTCGCGCGCTTCAGCCACTTTAGTAGCCGCTTCTAGCTTCTCGTGGCGGCGTTTGTGGCTGTGGCGTGTGGCCTGTGTGCGGCGACACTTACTTAGAAGACCACAGTGAAATAACATTTACTTTCGGTAGTGTCGTGTTTCTGCTTGTGAGTACTGTCTCCAAGGCTCCACGGCGTCCATGCTGAGTAGCGAGAGGGCGTGGGAGGCGGTCACCTCCTTCTGCGAGGACGTTATCTCGCAGAAGGAGGCGGCTGAAAGGGTACGGGAGGATGATCCTCTGGCCGCTCCCTCCCGCCAAAGGAGGACGGGTAGTAGAGGACGACGGCGCGCCCTGGTTGCGCCCGTCCCATGATCCTACCAGGGGGATCCCTCGCTGACCGGCATGGCGCCAGCTGTGCCGGCCACCGACGGACCCCGTGACGGCTGCCCCCTTTTGTAGTTCTGTCCTACAAGAGAGACCGGCGGGAGGACCTGCGATGTGCACTCCCAGGCAGTCCCCCGCAGCGGACGGGGAGCGGTGTGGTGGGCACTAGGCCGTACACTTAACTCCCAGCGCGGGCCTACCCGACCACCGTCCCGCGATACCCCGAGAGGCCCCTGCCGTGGAGCCCCGGCTAGTCCGGGAGGCTGCTAGGTGCGGAAACGACGAAGAATCCCTAAACGATAATTAGAGGATATTCGCAGGGTTTTTAGCGGATATTATACCGTAAAGCGCCCGACAGAGTTACGGGGTCCTCAGTGGGC